CTGAACCAATCCGGACCAAACTTGGCACACATACACTACGGGCCCCGGCGGGTGTCATAGGCTACTTTTCGTCATCGATCGATATCGATTTTATCGATTTTTTGCAAAATTTGAGCTACGGGGCTGGGAGTTGGCACAGGGGGGGGGGTAATCGAGCATGCTGATTACGAATACAACATTAGTTTTTAAAATCGTGCATTACTTTTATCGATTTTATCGATTTTTTGCAAAGTTTGAGCTACGGGGCTGGGATTTGGCACAGGGGGCTGGAATTTGGCAGAGGGGTGTAATCGAGCATGTGATCACCCCCCCCCCCGTGGGGGTGATCAGCATGCTCGATTACACCCCTCTGCCAAATTCCAGCCCCCTAGCTCAAATTTTGAAAATCGATAAAATCGACATCAATCGATAACAAAAAGTGGACTGCGACACCCGCTGGGGCCCGAAGTGTATGTGTGCCAAGTTTGGTTCGGATCGGTTAAGAAATGGAATTTTCTATTCGGAACATACGGCGGAGCCGGGTATGCCAGCTACTTCATTCTATAAAAACATGCTTCAGCAAACCTTTCTTCAAGTTGTCTCAGCCTGTTTACTCACTCTTGCAAACTATTCCTAACAAGGGTCGATATCTAACTCTGACCTATAGTTTGTTCCCCAGCAAGATTCCCATAGGTGCCACTTCATCTCGCTGCCTTTCTCTCTTTTGAACGTGTTAAACTCGCAGTTTCGTGAAATCTCAGGAGAAACGTTAAAAAGAGCGAAAGGCAGCGTCGCACCACGGTCACCACCACCGCCACGCTGGTTCGCATGGAAAATTTTCTGGGGCACACAGAATAACTTTACTAACTTTATCATTCACGTGGATATTTTAATTTTTTCATTTCCTTACACCTCTCAAAATGCCATTTATTATTTACCAATGCGTCACCTCTGCTTCGCAGAGGCTCGCACTGGCTCTACTATCTATGTGCCTTACTCATTCTCGTAAAATCGTGGCAATGGAACTTACCGCACTATGCCGACTACCACGAATTAAATGTAAACAGCTACTCATTCAGAAAGTTTTTTCACGTGAGATCGGTGATTTCGCGTGGATGAAACTTTTCGTAGGAAGACAAACGCAAATTTGAATAGGTTTTTGAAGTTGTCATGGCTTGGTAGTCCCCTTAAAGGCAATAGTAACCGTGAGCTACATCTCCGTGCGAAAATCTTTTGAAACGCTTAGCTAAAACCTTAGCAAATTAACCATTTACGCAACCAACTCTTTCTGGCGCCGTTTTCGTTATGTAGCAAACTTTTGACCACTTTTTGGGCTAAAGTCCATCGCTTGCACATTTGCTTACCAAACACATCCAGGACTTTGCAAAAAGTGGTGATATGGACCCAATTTTGCGGGACAGAAGCCAGGTGAATCCGTTTGGCGCGCAATTTCTGAGGGACCCATTCAACGAATCTATTCGTGCTTTTGCACGTTGAACTTTCATGAAGGTAGCATGCGCTATGCAAAATTCGGGCTTAAAACGCTGGCTGGAACACGCTCTACGAATTTGGTAACAGACGGACACACACACACACACACAAACACGTAAACAACCCTTAGCCCGTTATTATAAGGTCTTGATTGCTGTGCATCTGCAATACTTTCAGTTCGACTTAGACTCAAGTATTATCCGGGTCTTCGCTTTTCAAGACTTCTTTTTACTAACTTAGATAATTAGATGGCCCGTCTTCACGTGGCGTGCGGGCCTCAGCACAAAATTTCTACTTGTTCCTGTCCCTCGCTCAGACACCAACGATCTTCTTAATTGCCGTCGATGGCTGCCTCCACGAGATCCAGGCGAGATAATCTTTTTCAGCTAATTTCTAAGCTGTCCATCCGTTTTACAAACACGTCTGCCCATCTCCTCAGATAATCGCCGAGGTCAGGCGGTTCGCAAACTCGCGCTTTTCTGCAGGCAGTCAGCAGAATTTCGAGGCGTGGCCGAACCTTCAGCGGGCAGCACTTCCTTCACGGTCGCATATTTTGCCAGCAGGCAGCAATACAGCAATTTCCGTAAACGCTCGTTAAATATTCTCTTTCAGCGAGCGCTGCCCAAACGTTCAGCAGGCGCTCGGAATATTTTTGAGCAGCTTCGGGCGTACGTCGGTCAAATGTGAGACTCTATGCTGCAGAGGTGTCATTGATGGTTTGACTACTCAAGTTTGAGGTACTTTTTCTTAGCGGAAAGTACCTGAGGGTTGTGCGGTCCTCCGCAAGGGACCGCGCGGCCCTCATTACTCTTGCATATTCTCGCGGAAAGTCCGCGAGAATGCGGCCGCTGAGCCGCATATCCATAAAGCCATAGAAAGACCCAACATTCATCCAAATTTCTGTAAGCGGGCCGCAAGAATTCAGCAAACTATTTTTCCGGTGCCCGCTTATAAAATTCGCATGGTCGCCTGCCCCCGGCTATTCTCTGAGTCATTGGTGGTCTTCCTCGGGGACGTTGTTTAGCGAGGAATCCACTCAGATGTTCTTACTGCCCATCTGTCGTCCGTTCTTCTCATGATGTAACCGGCCCACCGGTGTTTCGCTTTCGCAACGTATTCCGCTGGGTCACGAAGACGGGACATTTATCTTTGAATCTATCAAATTCGTATGCAAAGCTTTCTGCAAAAAGAAATTTTGGCTAGAATTGCAATGCAATTTTAGAATCGAAATGCTTATTTTATAGAAAACCTTGTACTACACTTTATACCAAAGGTTTTTTGTACTGGAAAAACTATGAATCTGCAAAAAAATTGATAAATTCGCAAATGCTCTGCTTCAGCAACCTCCCAAAACTCCCATGCGAATATGGCGCTTAGTATAAAGCATTCGATGCTCTTGATGAAGCAGCGACCGCGCGCGGAACGCTCGCACCTCCTGGCAACTACATTTTCTTGGTTTTTATCTCTACTCAATGGTTTTTCTGCTTACATATGATAGTATTTAAACAAGGCTGAGCTAAGCGCTGAGGTGATGCCTTTTTGTATGAGTGTTTTCTGCTCTTGCAAAGACCGCAGTTGAATCCGTCCTATACATAGAGGCTGATCCTCTTGTATCAAATATGTGAGTTTGAAGGGGTGAATATTAAAGTGACGTCAAAGGAACTCAACCTTCCGTTCAAGACTTATTCAAGCGGATGCTCTCATCCCAAGTCATATATATTGTTTGTTCATCAAAGTCGCTTGGGTGGAGTACTACAAACAGCGAAGTAAAGCAGAATTACATCCGTCTCAATCCATTATAGGAAGTGCTTGAATCAATGCGTCTTTTTTCTGTTATTCGCAAATTTTGTTATAAATTTTGGACGGGTTTCAAATTATTTGGTTGTTGCACAGGCTTGCACAGTGCAGAAGCAATTAGGAGGTAAGTTCTTTTCTTAAGCGTAATTGATGCTCTGTATTGAAAATAAAAGAAGGTTTGCGCTTTACGATAGCTAGCGCAACTCTCTGTGTTGTCTAGGTTCCAAAAACCAAGCTTCCGACCAGGTGCAAGTTTTTATTTTCAATATAAAGTATGTTAGTTTTGGTTGATGATTTGAAGAGTTAACAGATTCTTGTTTTTATATAGGAACTTTCGCATCTGCTCAGATAATCGCGGGGGGCAGGTGGCCATGCAAATTTTGAGCAAGCGGCACCGAAAAAATAGTTTGCTGATTTCTTGCGGCTCGCTTGCAGAAATTTGGAAGAATGTTGGCCAATATCTAGACGAACGTTCGGAAAACAATCGCGGTTTTTCTATGAATTAAAAGCCTCTAATTGAACTCTTTAGAATGTATCCACAAATCCATATCCATGTGCAAAAGAAACACTTAATCCGAAGTAACCGGGATTTGATATGTTGATCCTTTTAGCTAAGCATTTGATATGGAAACAATACCGCCAATAAATTCTTACCGCGGAAAAACGAGCCACATCAAGACATGTAAAGCTACCGTGATATATTAGGTCGGTGCAAAAGTTTTGTCAGTTTTTTTCAATCACTCTAGAATGAAAATAAACGAACACTTCAAAGTGCATCCAATGCAGAATTTCTTCCTCTTTCTAGCTACTAAACTAACATTGTGTTTCTTTGAGAGAGTAATAAGATATTCGCTGAAAATTGCAAGCATTATTTACCATGTCCAAATTTCACTAATTTTCAAAATTTTTGTATGAGACTTTCGGAGGAGCCTAATAACCAGCAGATAGAGCAAACCTCTTGCCAACGTATGCAATTTTTTTTCTATCTTCAGCTGCTTTTTCAGATTTTTGCTAAATAATTTTCTAAAAGTTTTGTGTTGTGGAAAAATCGCATAACCTGTTATTGCACCAAACACTGCAAAACCTACAGAATACTGAGGTTTCAACACTCGATTATTACTTTTTCTACCATAACAAAGTATATGAGCGATTTCGCTCAAAATTAACAAGATTTTGAGATGCAGGGTTACGTCAGTGCGCACTCCTGAAATTGAGAAATACTGCGATTTTCCCCAAAAATTTCTCCTGTCTCGACAAAAAAGACAAGTGTTAGAAGGAGGAGAAAAAGTTGCATCGAATGGTGACTAAAGTGTTTGACATTTTGTGTTTTACGAGGTTAAAATAGGCTGAATTAGAATTTTGTCACTTCAAAAAATAAATCGTAGAAATTCTGAAAGATAAGCCGTAGGGCTACAAAAAATTGCTTGTTGGCAAGAGGTTTGCCCTATCTGCTGGTTATTAGGGCTCCTCCGAAAGTCTCATATAAAAATTTTGGAAATTAGCGAAAGTTGGATATGGTAAAAACGAGTGATTGTAATTTCTATCGAATATCTTGTCACTCTCACAACGAAACACAATGGGAGTTCAGCAGCTGGAAAGAGGAAGAACTTCTGCATCGAATAAATTCTGAAATGTTTGTTTATCATTATTCTAGCGTGATTGCCGATGGATTGAAAAACTGACAAAACTTTTGCACCGACCTAATACATAGATATACACTACGATAATGTGACACGTAAACCAGTTATTTACTGTAACTAAACATGGCTAGCTGTGAAAATATTTATTTGCCAAACATCTAGTTGAATGTCTTTGGCATCCGTCAATAACAAGCCAAGCACCGGCATGCGTAAACACCATCATGCAATATGCAGTTACCCGCTCCGCATCTCTGAAATGACAACGACACATCACAGTCCTTTGCGCCCCTACATTCTGAGATGAAGACCCGCAACCATGAACTATTTTTCCTATTGTAAACATGATGCCTCTACTCTATTTCGGGCTGTTTTGTAAATGGTTCCTGAGGTTCATAATTCAATAACGAAAAAATTTTTCTATCAAAGAAAGCGACAAGACCTACCAAAGTAGACGTCTCTGTTTCGTATCACTAACAATAATTTCTGAGTAAGTTTCCCGTCCTCTCTTGCTAAAACCTCGGCACACTTGAGATTGTGCTGTTAGTATTGTTTTGCCAACTCGAGGTTTTGGTGAAGCTCTTTATTACATCAGTGGCCTAACGTTTCGACTACTCGTCGTCTTCAGAGGCCTAAAGCGGTGCGGGATTAGCGATATCATGTCTGCCCCACCAAGTGCTTCATCGACCCTCGGATAGTTTCCCGATCCCCCCTCGAGTTTTACAAGCAAAATTCGCAAGATGGGAAAGACGAACGCACCATTGCTCCACCGCCGGTGCACTTGATGGTATGTGCGACCGCTTCCTTGTGACAGTAGTGCCAATAAGCCACATTGAGCAGCTCATTGTAGATGTAATCATCGCACTACCCTATCATACCTCACAGGGTGACGAAAACGGCATGAGGTCATTCGTAATGACTAAGCACTCGTTTCTTTTCTTCGAGCGAAACCGCAATGTAAGTGACATAGCTCAAAACGGATGTCTTGATTATACGGCAAGAGTCACCGTATTCGACAACACTCAGATTTCCGACAATGCGCGTAAATTCCTAAGCTTAGGTCCATCATTCTCGATTGCTCAGAACGTCAATGAGGCTGTATTTTGCAAGGTCTTCACAGAGCACGAGATCAACTGAAAATAAGTGCCAAGATTAACGAAAAGCGCGATCCAAATGCACAAGAAGTACGAGTTGAGCAGCCACTTTTCCATATTTCGTTTCCAAGCACTTTTTATAGAGAGCCTCTACTAGTACCGGAGGCAGATGTCAAGTTTAGAATTCTGTGCTCAAACGTTTTGACTGCTTACACACAGCCAAAACAATATCGCCGCACTAACTTGACTCACTCGGAAATGCTTGGATATAGGGAAGTACGCGATTTGATAAGCTCTGATAAAGTGCGCATCTCCGTCAGTGATAAAGGTGGAGATTGTGTGGTCATACCTCAGAATCTCGATCGAGAAATCACTGAGCTTCATCTCAATGACAAGAGCGTGTACCAGCGAGTTATCCGAAAAGGAATATCATTCGCAGTACAAGAGATTGAATCATATCTGGATGAGCACAGGAAAAGTAGCTGGCCTCAACGAAAGCTTTCTTAGCAGACTCAAGCTCGATACGCCAAATTGCCCGGTTTCCTATAGCCTCTTGAAGACTCACAAGCTTACAAAAGATGACGACATTTGCTCGATGGCAGCCAGACAGTTTCAGATAAGACCTATAATAAGCTGTACTGGGGGTCCAACCAACACAATATCTTGGTTTTTGAATAAGATTGTTGGGCAATTACTGGACAAAATACCTTCCCATTTTGCGAACACTAAACAATTCCTCGACCGCTTAAAATCGTGTAGATTTGAAAATGGATGTATAGCTGAATCATTTAACGTAGTATCTCTGTATATTAACGTCCAAAATAAACATGCTTTACAAGCGGTGTCCGAAATAATGGATGAATTTAGTGCGAGCATTCAAACCTTTGGATTGAGCAAGCATCACATCATGGTCCTGATCCGAGAATGTTTGAATTGTAATATCCTTAGATGGTCAGGCAGCACCTACTTCGCTCAAGTAAGAGGGCTTGCATTGGGACAACGGCTTGCTCCAGTTCTTGCAATATGTTTCATGAGCAGGATCGAACAACTCGTGCTGTCAAGACTTCCACTTATGTTGTCACTACATAGAGGACTGCTGTATTGTAACATCCACTCAGTCCGAAATGGACGAGTATTTCCAATTGCTCAATCAGCAGTCACAGTACATAAGATTCACGCGCGAACAGCCGGTTGATGATTGGCTTCCGTACTTGAACGTTCAAATCAAACTGTCCGGCTGCAACACAAATGTTAAATGGTATCGTATTAGGTTGTCCGGAAATTACTGCAGGTTTTGACTTTCAACCGCAATAAATCATAAATTTCTCTTTTGGATAGGTTGCAGGGTATTGTTCGATAGAGCAAAGCAAGCTCTACAAGATGGCTATCTTGCTTTAGCAACAACAGCTCTGATCCACCGCGAGTTTCGAGCCAAAAACTAAAAAGATTCAACTGCCCGAAAAAAAATCGTAACTCAGTTCGTAAAAATCCTACCAAAATTCTAACTTGCTCACGTAAGCACAATCCACATAAGGCACCTTTCGCCGTTGCCGTATTTTTTTTCTGTTAGAAATCAAGAAAACGGAAATCGTGCATTTGCTAAAGTGGTGCTTTGCCCTTCCCACACAGGTAGTGGTATACTACAAACCTTTAGAAGTACAAACGTAAATTTTCAGCTCTCTACAAGCTATAGTTCTCGAGAAATATCGAGTACAGTCTTCCCTAGTCATGTGGTCCAAGCAAAAATTCAAATTTCTCGCAAACTAAAGCTTGTAGAGAGCTGGAAATTTACGTTTATACTTCTAAAGGTTTGTAGTATACAACTACCTATGTGGGAACGGCACAGCATCACTTTAGCAAATGCACGAAAATTTCCGTTTTCTTGATTTCTAACAGAGAAAAAATACGGCAACGGCGTATAAAGGTGCCTTATGTGGATTGTGTTTATGTGAGCAAGTTAGAATTTTGGTAGGATTTTTATGAAATGAGTTACGATTTTTCTTAGTTTTTCGGGCAGCTGAATCTTTTTAGTTTTTGGCTCGAAACTCGTGGCGGATCAGAGCTGTTGCTAAAGCAAGATAGCCATTTTGTAGAGCTTGCTTTGCTCTATCGAACAGTACCTTGCAACCTATTCAAAATCAGAATTGTATGACTTACTGCCGTTGGAAATCAAAACCTGCATTAATTTCCGGACAACCTAATAAAAATAGCTTCAAAAACATCTTATCACATGCTCGTTCGACACATCCATCAGCCGTCAAGAATGCCGTTGTCCGAAATATGTTTAACAGCAACACAAGTGTGTACAGAAGAACAAGAGCAGAAAGAGTCGCGAAATGATGCGCTGAGTATCGGGAACAATGGCTATCTGATGCATCATGCTCGTGGTAGACCATATCCCTCACATAATACCGCTTAATATAACAACAAAATAGCTCAGGGATTCGCGCCGTGCGAGCGGTCCTCCTATAAGGGCTAGCGTACAAGCGGTCGACATAAGCCTAAAGCTTCCATGCGTGCATCAAACAGTTGAAGTGTCGTCCTAGCGGCAGGCAATGTTATCGTGCAAACGGCGTGCAATACGATTGCTCGAGCGAGCGGCCAGCAATGCGTCTGTCTTATGGGCCGGCAATATCCGTTGCCGTGCAAGCGGCCAACAGTGACCTCCATTTTCTGCTCACTATATACACACATTGTGAGCGTAAACGGTACCTGCGTGAGGTACGACGCAGCGTTTAGGCTGGCTAAGCATCGATATATCGTGTTATCAACATTTTCTTTCACCGCAAAGCTGGAATGAACTTGTGTGAGGCTACTCAGCCAGGCTCAAGAGTGATGGTGTGGCTTTCCCATGGAAAGTTTGGGTAATGCTGCAGGCATCGATCCATGTTCCCGGAATGTGGAAATGATTAATCCAGGAAAAATGGTCAAAATACCCCATATAAACCCACTCCAGCAGCAAGCAAGCGGCCGACCTTCCTCGCGCAAGCGGCGAGTTAGAAACCGTGCGGGCGCCCCACGTTAACCGCGCTAACGGCCCTTGACGACCGTACAATCGCACACACCGACGAGCGATTGTAAGTTCAGCGCTGACCGTCCGCACGGTGCGAGTCCCTGAAAGCGCTTTGTCTTTCTTTTGTCTCGGATGAAATATGTGTTGCAAAACGGCAGAATATTAAACGAGCGCAGCTAAGCGACGATATCATTTTAGTAAATGTTCCGAGAGATAATTCAAAGAAACGGCTTGTACGAAGAAGGTTCTATGACAAATATTGTATCTCGAAAGAGTGCGTTATTTGTCCATGTAGCAGCACTGGTGACTGCGCGAAGACGGGAGTAATATATCAGACAGAATGTTTAGTTTATGGAGCTAGCTATATAGGAGAAACCAAAAGAGGGGAGACGGTCTTTTCGCACGGGCGGTCTCCAGAGTCTCCCTGATTTTGACGTGTCTTAACATGTAGTGCACGCCGCAAACCTTTCCTCCCCCTGTTTTGCTTAGGTCCAAGCCGCCGCAGGGTGTGTCGCGCGCGGCGGTGGTCCTGTGTGGAAAGCATTACGGTCGTGCGAATCGTCCTACACCTCCGAAAGAGCACTTGGCGTGAGAGTTAGAGAACATCTCGCCAATAAACGAAAAGGTAATCTAGTCTCGCCTCTCGGGAAACATAGACATGAGTACCATTGCGGCGAAGACTACGAAATCAAGTGTACAATATTGGCTTATTAAGAAAATACCTCTGCTCGGGAAGCTCTCGAAGCGTTTTGGATCACGCGCAGAAAACCGCTTATGAACAACAGAAACGAGTGCTTAGCCGTTACGAATGAACTCATGTCGTTTTTGTTACTCTGTGAGCTATGATAGGGTAGTGCGATGATTACATATATAATGAGCTGCTCAATTGGCTTATTGGCACTACTGTCACCAAGGAAGCGGTCGCACTTACCATCAAGTGCACCGGCGGTGGAGCAATGGTGCGTTCGTCTTTCCCATCTTGCGAATTTTGCTTGTAAAACTCGAGGGGGGATCGAGAAACTATCCGAGGGTCGATGAAGCACTTGGTGGGGCAGACATAATATCGCTAATCCCGCACCGCTTTAGGCCTCTGAAGACGACGAGTAGTCGAAACGCTAGGCCACTGATGTAATAAAGAGCTTCACCA